TCAATCAAGAATTATGTATGTTGTAGCTATGCTTGCCTTGTATGCTAATAAATGCTTGTTTGGCGATTGCATTGTTGGTTACAATATTTGAACCCAGCAATCCTTATGGTAGAATTGCTATATAAGCCATTGCTGGTTAACATCTGTACAACCTTCTAGGGTTATAAGAAATAATGACTTATTCCCATTGAATTATACTATACTTATGGCTGCCAAGTGCTAATTGAGGATGGACGTCATCTGTGCTTTTTTTTTTTCAAGATAAGGTGCCCAAAATTGCTACTTCGGCCATCCATACGAACCAGCTTGCATCAGACGATATTTGTTGATCTGGTGGAAACTCCGTTAGAGACGACGGAAATCTTTTAATTCATTGATTTGGTGAGCCAACCATTGAAGTGGGCATACCTAAAACCATTTACTTAAACAAACACTTTGAATTTAAATATGGCAATTTATAACCATGTTGTTCACAAGTATCACTCAAAATGGCATAAACGGTTTTCAGTTGGTGTATACAATCACAATCAGAGAGATGCTGCAAAAAACCATTGTTTTCTGATAAAAATACGAAATCCGGATTTATCACATGATTCTGAATGTGGATGAATAATATCATGTATTTCTTTGATTTTATTATCGTACACCCTTGGCAGTGTATTTGTTGAAATAAAAATTGTAGCAAGTGTCCACTACTTTTCGAACAATCCTTCTACATATAATCAAAACACGTTTCTTGATGAATTAATGAATTTCACATTCAAAACAACCAGTTTAAGTATATTTTACGAGCAATATAAAGAAAATAAGTAAAGTTTGGTAACGATACAAAATGGCACTGTAAACTTTCTTCACGCAACAACATGGTAAAGTTCACGACTTTTATGTCTTCTTACCTCCTTAACAATGTGCAAAATGGACAACAAGGAACATGAATTCAATCAATTTTAATTTCATGTAAATTGAACATTCATCAGTTATTTATTATTTAAATTTGCCCTCTTAAAAACAAAGGCAAAATAATATGAAGGCCAAAAAATCCCTGTATACAGTAATATCATACTGACCCCGCTCAAAAGAACAACGATTTAAAATTTGAATCCATACAACTGAGATGGTTTAGTGTCAATATGACTAATATCTTTGCTTATCTAGAGAACAAGGTTTTAAAAACTTTTTACGGCACTCAGGCATTATGTAAAATTCAATCCAATTTTAGCCCCGTTTTGATCCGGGGTAGATAATTTAAACATACATTCTGACTTACTTCCGTTTTTCCATGTGGAAATTCGGGCCATGGATAAATCCACTCCATATTGGCATGTCCCTTTGGCATTCATAGCGGCTAAACTCCCGATCTGAATTATACGTGTAGTTGTTTCCCTTTGTTTCCTTTTTCTTTCTACAGTTCTTTCCATGTCGAATCTACACTATTAATTCACATGTAAGACTTAAAATTTCCGATTCTCCTGTACCCGAGAAAGATTCCCTTAACGATAAGTGGAAATTGTTTCGGTGGTTCTTTAGAAGAACGCAAAAAACACATTGACAGACAGACCACGCACTTTTATTCAGAAAAGATTGAGCCTTTGAGTTAAGTGTGCTAATATGGGAGCTATGCATGGACCTTGATGGTTAATTCTACCTAGCTTCATAGTGCAAGAGTGGTTGTTGTTCCAAAATCTAAAGCTGCCACAAGCATCCAGTCATTATGCATCAATTGGTTACCTGCAGACTAATTTTAAAAAATAGTTTCGGAGTAACACAGGAATAAAAGGATAGGACACTTGACGTAGATATAGCGAATCCAGCCGTCACTTCCGGTCGTTACAGGAAGTGATCAAAGAAATCGAAAATTTCAACTTTTCTTTTTATAATAAAAAATTGCATCACTTTATTGCATCTTTTTCGCAGATTCGAAAGATGTTGGTCCAACCGGAAACGAAAACGACAACTTCCGGTTATAAGAAAAAAAAATAAATAATTTGAGTAGTTTACTTTCCCATAAATATTCTTTATAGATAAAGTATTCGAAATAGATTTTAAATATGTTATTCACACTGGAAATGTCTAGAGTAACCTTAAATATCTTTCAAAAATTCACTTCCGGTCGCGTGTTTTCCTGTCCTGAAAATGAGAAGTTGTCTGAGCGAGATCTCAAAAACAGGAAAAAGATTAAAAAACAAACCTTTATGAGTAATAGACCTTGAGGAGTAGGCAAAACCATTTGGGTTAAACGCGTCAGTCGTCACTTCTGCTTGTCACAGGAAGTGATCAAAGAAATCAAAAATTTTAACTTTTCTTTTTTGAATTAAAACTTGCATCACTTTATTGCATCTCTTTCGCTGTTTTAAAATATGTTAGATTCTACTGAAAACAAAAACATCAACTTCCGGTTTTAGGAGATAAACTACGTTATTTTTATATTTAAATTTATTATAAATATTGCATATCAATTTAGTACTTGAAATAATTTTTGTATTTTGTAGATACTGCAAATGTCTAGAGAAAAGTCAGAGATTTTTTTTATAAAATTCACTTCCGGTCGCGTGTTTACATGTCCTCAAATTTAGAATTTGTTTTCACAATATTGTTTGGCAACAGCAAACGACTGAAGTCTAAAACTTACAGGACTGATAGTCAGTAATGAGTTTCTTTGAATCGTGAGAAAATCTTGTATCGCCGTTACTTCCGGTCATGACAGGAAGTGATGCAAAAAAAGTGAATGGTTAATGGTTAGCACGTTGGATTTTCACGCTGACGACCAGGTTAAATCTCCAGAGTGTCTGAATTTCTTTTATCACTTTTTCAGCTTGAATTTTCGTTTATTTTCAGAATCGGACGGAAGACCTCTCATTGCTCGCAATGAATTTCTAGTTTAACTATTAATAATTATTTGTCTAAAATAAAGTATAAAAACAGTATTGCGTCAGAGTACTCTCAGTCTTTTGATGAATTTCTTTATTGGCTGTTAGCTTCTATGGGCTTAGTGGCTGCTGTTATTGGCTGTTAGTTTCACTTTGGTACTGGCCCATGCGGGTTGCAAATGGACTTTTTCGAGAAGCGCTGACTTTTACAGTTGACGGCTTACTTTGACATTTAAACCCGCGTTATGTACGGAGGTACGGAATTGATAACAGATAAGAAAACATTAATACTTATGGCAAGCCCTTTTACTATTTATTCGTAAAATAATTTTTTCTTTCAATAAGAGAGATATCTCTTTAGCTTAGAGAGATATCTCTTTAGCTTAGAGAGATATCTCTTTAACTAAAAGAGATATCTCTTTGACCAAGAGAGATATCTCTTTGACTAAGAGAGATATCTTTATAACCTAGAGAGATATCTCTATAAACAAAAGAGATATCTCTTTTTGCAAGAGAGATATCTCTTTTACTTAGAGAGATATCTTTTTAAGCTAGAGAGATATCTCTTAAAGCGAGAGAGATATCTCTTAAAGTTAGAGAGATATCTCTTTAACAACGTTAAGACAGATATCTTCCTAAGTTAGAGAGATATCTCTTTAGAATTTCAAAAAGAGATATCTTTCTAAGTTAAAGAGATATCTCTCTCAATGAAAGAGATATCTCTTTTCAAGTTATCCTTAAAATGAAATAATTATTCCTCCCTTATAATACGAAAGCGAGGCTAGACACCACATGGCAGGAAGTGTAATGTTTGATGATCATATATACGGTAGATCTCTGCCTCTGGAATAGTTTCAGCATGCCCGATCCCAGAATGAAGTATGTAGAAAGAAATGCTAAATCCCATGTTTGAAACAACAAAAGGATAATGACTACTTTGTTGATAAACATGCTAAAGTCTTTATGTTCAGGAAAACGAAAGTAGGCTAGCAATAATCTCAACTGCGATGGACCGAATTTTCTCAGCTTTTGAAATAATCAGCTGTTTCAAATTTTAAATCTAGACAACACTGAATTACTTGTCATATTTATTTAAGTTATACTGTAAAAAAGGTCAAATTTAAAGACTACTTTAATTAACATCCTCGTCGAAATGAAGTTGGAGAAATCGGGTGGGGGTCTATTCCGTTGAACAGTGAACTTTTGCTGAATATTTTTATTGGTGCGTAATTAATGTTGTTTTGTGGAAAAAAAGTGGGGAGATTTGCTCCCAGCCAACTACCAGCAATTCTACAATTAGCCCCATTAGGTTCTGATACTCATTGTTTAATGCACAGGTGCTTGGGGACAGGACCCCCCCCCCCCCCCCCATCAGGCCCGTTGCAACGATTTCAAAAGGCGAAAGGGGGGTAGCAACTTCTCAAAAAAACATTAATGGCCCTCTGAATTATTTTTCATGATTTTTTAAAGCATTTGTTGATGCATAATGCACTATAAATATTCACAATTGATGTCTCTGGTATCTGATGTATCCCCCCCCCCCCAAAAAAAAAAATATAAATAACCTCTCTATTTATATCATTGGTATATTTTCATACATAGCTTATAAATGCATTAATTGTGAATTTATATAGTGCATTGTACATCAATATATATGCTTAAAAAAATAAATCAAAAAATAACTCGGGAAGCCCAAAATTTTAGAGGGTTGGGGTGGGTTGTGTTCCTGTTCCCTTGAAGCACCTGTGGTTTAATTATGTACATTTTGTCTCTTGTCTTTTATACAATAAGCTGAACTCTGATTGATTGCAAAGATCAATAATATGCGCTAGTCATTATCCTTCAATAAATCGCACACAAAATAACAAATTTAAATAAATTCAGTCTAACTAAAATTAGATCTTTATTCTGCTCCAACAAGATTGCTACACATTGCGATCTAGTTGGGTCTAGTTTTAATTTTTTCTGCTCTCACTAAAGGAAAGGGATCAAGACATTCTTTGATTTTGATGCAAATTCTATTGTGTGAAATGGAAATAAAAATTATAACAATGGATTGCCAAGTCATAATTGCAACACTTCTTTTATGGAAATCTATAGCTTGAACTTGTTTCTTTTTTTTTTAGAAGTTTGAAAATTTGCCTTAGCAGAATAGAAATACTTTCCTTGTCATCTGAAATGTAGGAGAATATAGGTACCCCTTATTCTTCAGAATTTTTATGCCCCAGCCATAAAATGGTCGGGTGGGGGGGGGGGGGGGTATAGTGTTACCCTGTTCCGTCATTCTGTCATTCCGTTATCATTGAATTTCCGTTCATTATCTCGGCAACAGTTGTACACATTCAACTCAAATTTGATATATGGATACGTCATAGGAATATGCAGGTCAAGTTTGAATTTGGTCATGGTATTGACAGTTATCCCCCTTGAACTTGGAAAAGATTTAAAAATTCTCAATTTCTAATCATTATCTTGGCTACAAATGTGCAATTTACAATTTGCAATTTGAAATTTTGGCTGTCTGCGGGGGTATTTGTGGTGTTACCACACACATCTAATTGGTAAAATAAAATCCTTGCCCTTTGGTCTTTGTTTTCATTTCCCAGCAAAATTAATCTATCATGGTACATGTACATTCTCTGACAATTCCTCAGAATTTTTTTTTTTTTTTTTATTTTTGAAATCAAATATTTCTGAAATTAAGCAAAGTTTACAGTTCAGTGCAGTCATTTAGGGTGCATACCAGTAATATTCCAAATCACTTTTCATTTAATTTTATTTAAATGCAAAAGGTGTAAATAATTTTATGCCAGAAATTGGCTGTTTGGTATTGACAGAAAGCAGTTTAAGTGACTATGGCACAATTCTTTGAGCATACCTTCCATAAAGTAACCATGACTGAGAGTTTTTTTTTTTTTTATCTCTGATATAGTGTAAAACAGGTCACTTCAAATAATTTGTGTGTTGCAGGTTGAGACATCTGAGTTGTGTCCCCTCCTTTGTCATAATGCCAGCTAGTGTAAAGCTGAGATTGATCAATGTACTCTAAGCTAACTTAGGACTGTGCTCTAGACCTGGTGTATTCCTTAGGGAATAGAGAGCCAACAGGTATTTATTCTTACTGATTGCATGACTAAATATTAATAAAATATATTAATCGTATCTTAATGAATTCCATCTGTTCAACAATCTTTGATTTACCTCATTACTTAAAAAAAATGTTAAGAAGGAAGACACATGTAGTTTATGAGATCACACAAAATAAGTTTATTTGTTTGTAGATCATTCTGCATCATCACATTTATGGTGATGTGTTAAATACACATAAATAAATACATGTATAACTTAATTCACTCTGTCTTACAAATTAAAACCCTTCAATATTATATACAGAAGTAGTTGATGAAAGGTTGACACCTACATACACTGCAAATGAACTTTTAAAATTTAAGAAATACCAGGTACATGTTCTAAGATTGAATTGTGTCTCTTTCAAGCTTGTTTACTTCCATTATGAATTAATAATTAAACCCTTAGTTTGGCCCTCTCTCACTTTCATATTTTTAGCTCACCTGAGCCGAAGGCTCAAGTGAGCTTTTCTGTTCACATTTTGTCTGTAGTCCGTCTGTCTGTCCGTCTGTAAACTTTTCACATTTTCGACTTCTTGTCCAGACCCACTGGGCCAATTTCAACCAAACTTGCCACAAAGTATCCTTGGGTAAAGGGGATTCAAATTTGTTCAAATGAAGAGTCACGCCTTCTTCCAAGGGGAGATAATTATGAATTCATGAAAAATTAATGGCATCATTAAAAAATCGTCTTCTCAAGAACCACTGTGCTTAAAAATATGAAACTTATGTGGAAGCATCCTCAGATAGTGTACATACAAGTTTATTCAAATCATGACCCCCGGGGGTCAGGTGGGGCTGCAATGGGCGATCAAAGTTTTACATAGGAATATATAGGAAAAATCTTTAAAAATCTTCTTCTCAAGAACAGCAAAACCATGATTGGTCATATTTACATGGAAGCATCCTGAGGTAGTGTAGATTCAAATTTGTTCAAATCATGACCCTGGGGGTCGGGTGGGGCCACAATGGGCAATCAAAGTTTTACATAGGAATACATAGTAAAAATCTTTAAAAAAAAAACTATTTCTTAAGAATAGCAAAGCCATGATTGGTCATATTTATATGGAAGCATTCTTAGATTAGTGTAGAATCAAGTTTGTTCAAACATGACCCCTGGGGGTCGGGTGTGGCCACAATGGGTGATCAAAGTTCTACATAGGAATACGTAGGAAAAATCTTTAAAAATCTTCTACTCAAGAACAGCAAAGCTAGATTGGTCATATTTAAATGGAAGCATCCTCAGGTAATGTAGATTCAAATTTGTTCAATTCCTGACCCCCCCCCCCCCCCCGAACCATTTTTATATTTAAACTTTTCAGCCTTTCAAGACTAAACTGATTTCTGCTTTTTCCTAGCCATAGTGCTTAGGTGAGCGATGTGGCCCCTGGGCCTCTTGTTTTTTATTTTATATTATCTATTCCTTTATTTGCTTAGCTTGACATTGAATGATCAGTTACTTTACTACATTTTGTTATATTTATTTTTGAAATAATAATTTCACAGGTGAATCACAAGAAGCAACTACCTAAACAAAGTTGAGAATCTGAGGGTGTCCTACCAAACCTATACTGTCCTGTTTGAATAATTCCAGGCCAAGAAAAGTGATGCACAGACTTCTACACTCTCTGCACTTTTACTTGTTTTTAAATGTTTTAAATTGTTTGAAAAAGTTTAATTACTTACTGGTACCGTGTATATGCATGTATCCAAATTTGAACAATGACAAAGCAATTTATTCCCAAGTCAATAAAACAATGTATCAGTGTTTTCAATATCTTTATTTGAATTCAAGATAAAAAGGTTATTACATGTACATACCAATGCTTGTTTTTTTTGTGTACTGGTAATACATGCTATGAAAAATTGTAATATCATAAAGTATAGTCACCCTGATGCTTATACTTATGTGACTGTTTTTATTTAAGAGGTCTTCCCAAGTTAAGTCAGTAAAATCTAAATCTGCAAACATTCTATCATTAAGGATTCAAAAATACCTTCCAGTTATGGCTGAATTGTCATGGATTCAATGTATACTATAATTGAACTATGCCTATATAATTCAATAACTGTGAACAAACTCCAACATTATACCCCCTATACTTTTTTTTTTCCTGAAAATGCCAATATCAATTTTCTAAATGTGACCTTGAACTTGCCAAAATGATATACTGGTTAAGAAAGAAAAGATGCATCTTCCATTCATCATAAATCTTTAAATAAAAGGGAGATATTTACTGTTTCTCCATTAAGACATTATAGACCTGACATGAGCAATTTTTTTTGCCATTGACCTTGAACTTGTCACAATATCATGGGTAAAGGTAATGACATACTTTCAGCTTACAAATAATCTTTGAAGTTTCCAGTTTCAATACTTATCCATGAGGGAGTAATGAAATGAAAACAAATTTCACACATTTACTGCCAGTAATCTTGACATTGGATAAGGTCATGAAACACCATTTAGTCAAAAGCAATCTTTGTGTCAAGTATCATTTGCAAATTATGCATTTGACAAAGGTAATACACTTTTTCTGCCAGTTACCCTGAACTTGCATAAAAATGACCTTGATTTAAGATCAGTCATAACCGCAGGTCATGCTCAATATTTGCGATAAGTATGAGCCTCTAAATGTTCTCAATTACAAGATATAGTCAAACAGGAATTATAGATTTTTATAAATTTTTATTTTATAAAATCACCTCAAACTTCATCAAATAACCTTGGGTCAAGGCCATCACACATATATTCAATTTATGCATGAAGCACAAATTTCCAATGTTTCTTCAACAGGAAATCAGGTTTTGGGCTACAGTCAGCCTTTTCATTCAGCCCTCACTCAAAAAAGTGTAAGGTAAATATGAACAACATAAAGAAAAGAAAATGAAAGAAAAGACAAAAATTTTATATTACTTATAGATGAATGAAAAATGAAACTTATGCTTGTGTATTTGATAGCTAGAATTGAAAAAAAAACCAAAAATCTTAAGTTATAAACTTGACTGCTGTTAAATTGAATGTATTGTGTAAAAATATTATACATGTGAAATATTCTACCACTCTCTACCATTGGCCCATACATGTACATGTCTGAGAGAGGAACAAATGACAACTCTGCATAGGAGATTGTTATCCTACAAATTTAAATAAGGTCCACAGTATCAGTAAACATAATAAAAAACTATACTAACATCACATGTAATTTTTTTTCTGTAGCCAGAAGATTAATAATAGGACAAGAATTTCTTCTTGGGTTGCAGTTTTGTTGAAGTGTATACAGTGAATTGTTAAATTATGGTCACTTGACATAGGTGGAGTAAAACCTCTCTTATTGATAAAACTTGGATATTTCAGAGTTCCACAGATCCATAAAGGGCATTCAGGTGGGTTCAATTTCTGGTGGCCAGATAGTTAAATTGGTAGAGCAAATGACTACTGATTCAGGGGGCCCTGACTTGAATCCTGGTCTGGTCCATACACCCCATTGCTTATCTCTTTTCTGTCTATGCAAAGAACTTGACAATGCAGACTTTCCCTCAATGATAGAAGTGCTTGTCTCTGCAGACTGTACTTGTGACCTACACATACACAAGGAAAATCTTTTAAGACTTTAAGAGAACATAATGTTTTTTTTAATTGATCTATTTCACGTTTCAATGTTGTTAACAGCATATTTCTAAGTCATAATACAAAAATACATACACATGTAAAAATTAACTCGCACTTTTTCAGGTAATCATATTGACTTGTTACAATCACTGGAATCTTGGACATCCTTCACATTCAAAGACAAGTGTCACAGAAAGTGTGTTGGACATACCCTTCTTGCACTTCATATCTGAAACAATGACAGAAAAAAATTTGTAGGGGATGTTTCATTAATCATTACATGTAACTGATCTTTTCAATTTAAATACAGTGGTCTGCAACTGCACTAGAAAACATGAAATCAAAAGGCCCATGGCCACAATGATCACCTTAGTCACTATGGTCATGTTGTTCTTTTTGAGCAGATCCCCCCCCCCCATCTTCCGAAGCAAAACTTGATTGTTTTGCCCGTTCTAGCTGGCTCAACCCTAGCCCCTGGAGACATGAGGATCCCAGCTTCCTTAGAAATATTACTTATCTTTTTATTGTTCTTGAGAAGAGATTTTTAAAGATTTGTTTCCATATATATTCCTTTGTAAAACTTTAATTTCTCATAATGGCCCCACCATACCCTCCATGTCATAATTTGAACAAATTTGATTGAACATACAATACGCAACCTAATGCTTCCATGTAAATACAGTTGAACTTCAGTATCAAGAACACTGATATCTCGAATACCATTGCTTATTGTTTAAGTAATATACCCTTGATATCTTGAATCCTCAGATATCTCGAAGTTTTTTCTTGGTCCAATCGAGTTTGAGATAATGAGATTTTACTGTATGAACAATTATGTCTTAGCTTGATTGAGAAGATTCTATAAAAAATTCCTACATATTCTAAATAATGTAAAACTTGATCACTCATTGTTGCCCCATACTACCCTAGAGGGTCAATTAAGCTATGAATGATCGTGAATCTACACTATATAATAAAGCTTGCACATAAGATTCAACTCACCTGGCCCAGTGGTTCTTGAGAAAGATTTATATTTATCAAATACGTCATAAAATCTTCACTAATTATCTATTATCTCCTATTGAAAGAGAGCGGGACCTTTATTTGAATATCTTTCATTTGATCCACAAGTTTAGATCAGAATTCAATGCTCAATTGAGCCTTCAGCACAGGAAAGCTAAATATGTTTCAAAATTGAGGGAACAATCATTTCATTCTAAGAAGGGGGGGATAGAGGGCTATTTTTCAAGTCAGCTTATTTCTTTCCATACCAGTGAAGGACAAACTAACTATTTTCAAGATGATAAATACAGAAAATTATATATATATTTTCTTCACTGATAACATTTTAACCCCCCCCCCCTTACACACACACACAAGGGGGGGGGAGGGAGGACAAATTATTTGTTTTCAACATTTTGAGGTTCTGATTATTTATTTCCAAAATCTGCAAGTCACTTCCCCCTTTCAGAATCAAATGGTCTACTCGCTTTCCACAGGCACTTGTTTCTGTGATACTTTAATTAACCCATAGTATGATAGTATATTAATAACATAAGGTATCCAACTCGTATGCAGGTAACGATCACAGGGGGGGGGGGGTGCTTCCGGGATGTATACAATGTTAATAAAGAGAAAGAAATATTTGTAGATCTACTAAATTGTATCAGTAATCACGATGGGTTTTGAAATATATATATATTTTTTTTTAAATATTGTTTACATTTCGAAACAAGCCCCTGTGATACGTTTACGATGTTTTCATGATCGGCTAAGTTTCTTACTCTGAACTTTTTTTCATTAAATCAGTTGATCAAGCACTTGTAGAAGGACAGCTCCCTTTTTGTGTCGTATCTTGGGGTCATTTTACACCTGCAAGTCAGTAATTTGCTCACAAATACCATAAAACACCACATGTTCTACTTTCTCGTCTCTACTTTCGTTTTGATTTAATGCATTTCCGTGAATATAAAGCTTAAATTACTTCCGGTAAAGGGAGAAGTCATTAAAAATGCTTTTTAAATAAAAATAATGTAGAGAGATATCTCTTTACAGTAAAGAGATATCTCTTTTTGCTTGAGAGATATCTCTTTTGGACACTTTTGAGAGATATCTCTTTCACTTTGAGAGATATCTCTTAAGATAAACTTAGAGAGATATCTCTTTTACTTTGAGAGATATCTCTTTAACTTGGAAAGATATTTCTCAAAGTAAAAGAGATATCTTTCTAGGTGAAAGAGATATCTCTCTAAGTGAAAGAGATATCTCTTTAACGCTAAGAGATATCTCTCTTAACGAAAGAGATATCTCTCAAAGGAAAAGAGATATCTCTTTAAGTGGAAGAGATATCTCTCTAAGTGAAAGAGATATCTCTCTTAGTGTAAGAGATATCTCTCTAAGTGAAAGAGATATCTCTTTCTTAGAGAGATATCTCTTTAAGTTGAGAGATATCTCTTTAAGTTGAGAGATATCTCTGTTTTTTTAAGAGATATCTCTCTAAAATAAGAGATATCTCTTTAATTTTGAGTGAAAATTTATTTTACGAATAAATAGTAAACGGGCTTGCCATAAATACTGGTTATAGGTGTGGTATTAGGGGCGCTAACATGATTTACCGGTGTACAATCATTATGAGATGATGGGAGGCAGACTAACATAACTCAAAATGTGTTATTCGTGAAGGGTAATATTTCCTTTCAATTTCATTTAAATTTGCTGAGGAAATAAAATAAGGAAGAAAAAAAAAAACATTCCGAAAGAAAAACTTGGCGGGAGTTGTTCATGGTGGAAAGGAAGGGGGTAGAGGATAGAGTAGTTACAGTTCCCTTCCTAGACAACGTTATATGTGCTTTGAAAGGGCCCATTATTACATCTTGATTAATTGTTCAGCTAAATATTTATATCGCAAAAGAGCTTCCGTATATTGTCGTTGTGTAAAAGTAAGCCGTAGAATGTAAAAGTCTG